CCACAGGGCACACTTTGGGAAACACTGCTCTAGGGACTGTAAAAAAAAAAAACAAAAGCTGGTCCGGGGAGACAGCGCCCTGGCCAGGAGACTGTAACATCACGAGGGACAGGTCTGTGAGCACTGAACTTGGAATAGCAGGGTTGGAGTTTGTTCCTCCTCGAGGGTGCAATGGCTGGACAGCCACACCCACCCCCAAACACCACGGTCTCTCCCGTCTGCCAGCCCTGCAGCTCCTAGTCCCCCAACCTGAGGATGTTCACCCCAACATCCCTAGTGTCAAAACAGTGCCCACCCTGCCAGGCCCCCATCCATGGAGCCTGCCTCGGCTGCCCTGCCCCAGTCTTCCAGCCTTACAATAGCCAAGAGCCCTGATCTCAGTCTGACCCTAACTGGTTGTTTGGTCCGTGACAGTATACTTCAGGATCTAGAGGCTTCTTTCAGTTTAAAAATTCTGTTTGTTGTAGCCTGTGCCCTTCAGGGCCAGAAGTTCCATGAATCAAAGAGAAAATAAACTTAACACTTTGTGAACCATGGTAGCTCCCATTTCCAAGGGGCCTGCTAAGAGTGCCAGGCATTTGCTGGGTGCTACATACCCATTATTTCCACTCCTTATAAGAATCCTACAAAGTAAGCATCATAATGCTCTTTTGGGGGAGGGGGGACAGAGTCCCACTCTGTTGCCCAGGCTAGAGTGCCGTGGTGTCAGCCTAGCTCACAGCAACCTCAAACTCCCGGGCTCAGACAATCCTCCTGCCTCAGCCTCCCGAGTAGCTGGGACTACAGGCATGCGCCACCATGCCCAGCTAATTTTTTCTATATATTTTTAGTTGGCCAATTAATTTCTTTCTTTTTTTAGTAAAGACGGTGTCTCGCTCTTGCTCAGGCTGGTCTCGAACTCCTGACCTTGAGCAATCCGCCTGCCTCAGCCTCCCAGAGTGCTAGGATTACAGGCGTGAGCCACCGTGCCCGGCATAATGCTCTCTTTAAAGATGAAGAAATTGAAGTTCAACGTGGTTGCCAGCCAAAGATGCCATGCTTATAATAAATATGAGATACACGCTTTGAACGTGGGTTTGTCTGACTGCAGAGTTTGTACTGAAGTATGCGTTTCCATAAAGAGAGCCAGGAATGAGAAGCACACGCTCTCTGGACAAGGGCAGGTCAGCTGGAGCTCCCCTGTGCCTGGGACCTGAGAACTTCTCCAAGGCCACCCCCAAGTGACCTGATCAACAAGGAGTATCTGAAGGTCAGCCAGGGCCGCCGATCCTCGGGCCAGGATGCGATGGGGCGCCAGGGCCAATCTGGAATCAAGAGCTCCAAGGCACTGAAGCTCCAGCCCCGACTGAATGCGTCAGGCCAGACCCTGGGTAATTACCAAGCCGTAATGGGATCTGATATTTATATTAGTCACGAGCCTGACAGAGAAAACGTGTTGTTTTCTCAGACACAGCCGTGGAGACAACACCTCAATAATTCATTACGTGCAGACCATCCTTGATCGAGCCCAAGCTTCTAGAACGATGACAGATGAAACTGAGAATAGGAATGAGTCTATGCCCAGCCACGCTCAGGCCCCACAGCAAACCACAGCTCCGTCAGGAGGTTTGCCTCAGTTTCCCCAGGCATTTAAGAAAAAGTAGGTTGTATACCAGAAGGCGAGCAGAGGATGGGAATAAAGACACGCAAGTGCCCCAGGGCTCACTTCCTACAGGAATTGCTGGAGAACTGCAGAACATATTCTGAGCCAGAAACTCGACCACAGTTTCTCAACACCTTCCACTCTCCTGTGTTGAATCGCAGAGTAGGCAGGGACGTTAGAACTCACAGAATTCAATCCCCACATTTCATAGACAAGGAAAGACAGACCAGGGAGGCTAAATGATTTCTTCAAAGTCACAGCCTTCTTCAGGCTGCCAAAGCAGCTCCCTGTTCGCTTCCATCTGCGACTGGACTGGACCTCACAGTGTCACAGCCAAGCAAATAGAGAGCTCTGATAAAAATCCAACAGAGAAAAGAAACAGCAATGTGAAAAGCACGGCAAAGAACACAGTGCTGGGAGGATTGTGCCCAAATTCCCAACCAGGGGGGGAGGGTGCAATATTTTCTTCTTCACTTCCTAAAAAAAGTCCACATACCACTCTTTTCAAAATACTAAAGTCATTCGCTATTTGAGATTTAGAGGCCAAAGGTACTAACGACGCATGTCCAGTCTTGGGTTCCTTTGATCACAAAGGATGGTGCGGTCCTAGAGACCAAATGCTCGTGGTTTTTGGAGCTCCCTGCTGAAACTTATCTTCCATGAATTTCAGATGCTAAAAATGACCTGCCTTCCTCTGGACTCCAGCTCCTGGGCAAACCATCTTAGGGCTGAGTGAGGGCGAGGGTGAACGCGTCTGAGGAATTCTGTGGAAAGGCAGCCTAGGTTTGCTTGGGAAATCTAGCACAAAAATAATTATTCTAAATTTAAGCCCAATACATTCTTCTGTACCAAGTCTCAACAAAACTACCCAATACTTGGAAAGCAAAAAGAATGAAGGACAAAAAAAAACACGATTGCAATAAAAACACAGACCTCAAGGACAGAAAGAAAAGCTTATTAAAGGCCTGACTTACCATTATTGGTTATAATGTACTGACCACACACCATTTAACTGAGTAAATCAAAGGGCAGGTATCAAGAGACTCTGGGTATGTTTTCAAATGGACTCATGGCATCAAAAGTAACCTCTCCTTCTACGTTGGCCTCACATCTCCCAAACCAACCTCAATCACCTTTCATCCAGGTTGATTCCTTACATAAACTTCCAGCTATGGCCACTCAGCAGGTTTTGCAGCTACAAAAAAAAAATAGCCAAATATTTACAGATTGTTTTTTTCTAACGATCATTGCCAAAAACCTATTTTCTTGAGTAAACTGACAGAAGAAGTTATGCTTGGTCATCACTTAGGAAAGAGATTCTTTGTGTGAACTATCCCATTAGCATTTCATTTTATAGGCACCGCAGCCACATTTGTGTGCTCCCCAGGGTAAAAAGATTTTAGGTGCTGTGTTTCAAAGCACAGGATCACAAAAAACACCACAACTTATTCTGAATCGTTGAAAAAAAAGTTTTCATTAGGATCAGAATCACTCGCTTCCAGAAAGAAAGGAAAAGCTGTTAAAAAGTTCACCAACATCACTCCATCTAGAGAGCATTTCAGGATGTGCACAACCATGAGCTATCTTTCCTCTAAGGACAGTGGCTGAATCTCAGTAAAGAGAGAGAAAAAAAAAATCCCCAGGACTGAAGGCTGTGGGGGTGGGGGGAGGGAGTGTGTGAATAAGAAGGCTCTATGAATAAGCTGTTCTCAAAGGAGGGCTAGGCATCTGGTGGTTGGGACTTGGCTTCTCTGGAAGGTGGCAGATTTTGCTCCTTAACTAGTAAGAAGGAACCTCTATCGCTGAGAAAGCTGGCCGGCCAACATCTGGAGGCCTCCGGAAAGAAAGAGGAGGAGGAGGAAGAGAATGATAGTTTTTATTTTTCGCCCTTACTCCTCCAACACACTAGTATTTTCCAAAACACAAGTGTGCTGCCACAAAACACAGCTGAGCTCCAGCACCCAACGCCATGTATAATTAATGATCAGGAGAGAGCTTCGGTTCACCCTGGTGTTTTTATAGTCTGCCTTCGCCATAGCCCCTGGCTTCCCCAATTCCTCCCCTAGCAGCCAAGGAGGCTGCTACAAGTTGCTGTGCCCTGTGGAAGTTTGAGGGGTCCTCGGATTAACTTTACTAGAAAAGGTGTGACCATTTGGGGCCCAAGATATACGTCTACCTTGCACCATTCCCCTAGGTATTCCCTCCCTCCAAAAAGGTTGGCGCTGTGAAGTCCCCTGGGATGGGAATTACGCTAAAAGACAGCTGGGTCACTCTTATTTTCCAGTTCTTTCTTTTTTTATTCTGCAATTTTCTATCAAACATTGCCCAGTTCCCCCATCTCCAGCCAGTGAGGGGTGGGGGAAAGGACATCTCTAGGGACAGGGATACAGACCAGCAGTCAGCCTAGCAACCCTATATCTAAGGTGTACTGAGCCCCGGTGCTGGTGGGCGTCTGCGCCAGGAATAGCTTAAACCGATGACATCTAGCCACCCCAAGCGCCGGGAAGGCAGCTCCGCGTGAAACCTCGGCCTCTGCCGACTCTCAGGCGGACCCCAGCTCCAGCTCCCACGGCTGGTGGCATTTCCGGGGACCCAAAATGGATGACCTGGGGGCGAGAGTACAGAGGCAGAAGAACTTAGGGTTGGGTATGTTTCACGAGAATGTCTAAAGGATGGAGTGGGAGATGATACCAGAGTGTCGACCTCACCACGTTCCTAAAGTAGCAGCCCCATGGGCTGCCCCGGATATTGGGATGGCTCTCCCCAACTTTCTCTCATCCCCCTCCCAGGTCCCCCACTTTCTCTGGCTATGTTCTTCCCCCGGGATTCCCTACTGCAAGGGATTTTCTCCCGTGCCCAAAGGATGTTTCCTTCTTTCTGACCCCACGAACTCATCTTCCCAACAGGTTCCCAAAGTGCCGGCAGATGTGCCCGCCCTCGCCCACCGCCAGGAGCCGAGCCGTGGCAGGTGAGCGGTGCGGAGCACACACCGGCGGCCCCCAGGGTCCTCCGTCCCCGCGGGGCTAGCTCTCCCCACCCCGCACCACGGCACCCGAGCAGCGCGCGCTCCCCACCCCGGCCCCAGCCGCAGCCGCCAACAACCCTACAATAAACAGGGGGACAGGACCGGGCGTCCGCGTCCCGGAGCGCACCGGTCGGGGGCACCTCCTCACCGCGGCGCGCCGCCCGCTGCCCCAGTCCGGGGCGCAGGGAGAGCGGAGGGAAGGAAAGGCGGCGAGGGGAAGGCAGGCAGGGACGGAGGGAGGCACGGCGCCCGCGGAGCGAGGAGGTGGGCTGCAGGGGACGCCGAGAAGCGGCGGGGCTGGCGCAGGGGGAGGGCGCCCCGGGCGCGCGTTACCTTCGTCTTGCCCCCGCAGTGGCAGCAAACGGTCCACAGGTACTTGAGCGTCCGCCACAGCAAGATGATGAAGAGGCCCCCAAAGAAAGTCACCATGGAGGAGGCCAGGAAAGCCCACCACATGCGTTGGCCCCGGCTGTCGCACGGCACCTCCATGGTCACCGGGATGATGAGCGCATCCATCTTGGGCTCGTGGACCGAGGACGAGGAGGAAGAGGAGGAGGAGGAAGAAGAAGAAGAGGAAGAGGAGGAGGAGGACGCGTCTAGGCTGAGATGGTTCGCGTGGATATTGCTACTCATTCTAAGACTGCTGCCTCCGCCGCCGTCGCCGCCGCCGCTGCTGCCGCCGCCGCCGCCGCCACCATTTGCCATAGCTAGCAACGGGCGGCCGGCGCAGGGGCTCGGGGGAGCTCCTCCCGCCGCCAGCGCCACCCCGAACACCCATCAACAGCCATATTGCTGCTACTGCCGCCGCCGCCGCCGCGGAGCGCGGGGAGGGGGGCGGGGAGGCGCCTGGGCTCGGGGCGCTGTGCGCGACCTGGCGGGGTGCGCCGAGATATATACAGCGAGCCGCCGCCGCCCGCCCTCCCCCCGGCCGCCGGCCCGCCCGGGGGGGAGGGGGATGGGGCGCGTGGGCAGCTCCCTCCGGCCCGCGCCCGCTCGCCCGCCCGGGGCTGCGCTGCCCCGAGCGCCGAGAGCCAGGGGCGCCGCGGGCAGCCCGCGCCGGTCTGCGCCGCCCAGGCCCGCCCCGGCTCCGCGCGCGGCCCGGTGCCCTCGGCGCCGCGCCGCCCGCCGTGCGCCACGCGTGTGCTGCTGGCGCCCGGACCTCCCCACGCGCCTCCCGCGCGCTAACGAGCCGCTCTCGGCTTATTAGGCGGCAGCTCGTTAATAATGAATAATCAGCCCCCTCCGCCCGGACGCCCCCGCGCCAGCCCTCCTCCCCCGGCTGCTCCCGGCTCCCGCTAGCCGCCCCAGAGCGCTCCGGGCCACGGCAGGTTCACCGTGTCCGGCCGCCGGGCCGTAGCCGCCCGCTAGCCCATGCTCCCGGGAGCCCCGAGTCCCGTCGCCACGCCACGGAGCCTCCTCGGCCTCTGCTCGCTCTTCCTCCTCGCCTCCTCCGGCTCCTCCTCGTCCCCGTCCTCGCCGCCCGAGCCTCTTCGGCGCGCGCCCCGCGCTCCCCGCAGCCGCCAGCAGCAGCAGCTGCAGCAACTGGAGCGGGCGCGGGCTCAGGCCGCCCGAGGCGGGAGGGGAGGAGGCTCGGCGCGCTGGCTCCCCTCGGCTCAGGACTGGGCAGGGGCAGGCAGGGCCCCTTAGCTGTGGCCCCGCACGCGCCCCTGACCCCCAGGGCGCAAGGTAGAGCGCCCCAGCCCAGTCACGGGACAGGGCGCCTCTCTCCAAGGTGCTGCGCCCCCAGCCAAGCGCCCTGGGGGATCCAGGGAGGCCCGCGGAGTGCCCTGGGCTGGTTGTTTTTCCCAAAGGAGCTCCCAGTGGGGAGGGGATGAGTGGCCAGCTGTCAGCTGGATTCCACAGGCTGGGTGCCCCCAGGATCCCCTGGCTTGGGGAGTGAGGAAGACCCTACTTCCGAATACACACAAGTACTGACCGGCTAGTTCGCGCTTCTCCCTGCTTCCTAGGTGCCCCCGTGCCCCACGTGTGGCTGGAGGGCAGGGCCATCTGGAAAGCTGGCGGGTGGTCTGTGGCCTCTGACAGCAGCAGGTGGTTTTTCTCCTGTTTTTCATATTAAGCAACAGAGGCTGCCTAAGAGAGTAGGCAGAGATGATCAGGAAGCCTTGGCCTCAGGGACAGTGCAGGCCCCAACAGAGATTAGAGTTCCCTAAAGAGTCGCCCCCTCTTGTCTAGTCTCAGGCTGCATCCATCCCGTGAGGAGGGCAGCTAGGGGAAGGGGTGCTCCAGGCCTCATTCAGGCTCGTCTTTCCCCATTTAGGGTCTTCCCTCCTCCCCGCATAAGATGCAGATGTCGTCTGGTTTATTCAGTAGCCTGGAGCTCTGCACCCCCGGGGGATCCCCCTTCTGGTACGCCCAGGGACGTTGCCCCCTCTGGACACTGTCCTTCCTGCTGCCAGCTGGACCACACGTTTTTCCAGTGCTAATCAAAACGAAGATGATCACACTCGCCCCCTCATTGCCCACAGTGGTTTCACCAAACTTTCTGGCTCATTATTTTAAGCCTAATTGGAATTCTCAGTTTCCTTTCAACTCTTCTGGTGGTAAAGGGGCAAGTTAGCATCCTTAACTGTATAGGCTGGTGCCATCTCGCCAGAGTCAGAGATCAGCCCACCCTTGTCCTAGGAGGTCTCAGGGAAGGAAAGGGGCCACCAAGGCCGAGCTGGGCAGAGAGGTGGCAGACAATGTTTGGACTTCTCTTGCTTGATTCAAAATATATTCGCTGGACTCAGGATACACGTCTGCTAGGAAAGAGGCAAAGCCAAAGTCAAAGAGGAAAATGGAATGAGTTAAGAGTTCTCGAGTATTTGATACTCAAAGAGGGAGCTACAGATAGTATTTTCCAGAAAGTGAAATTGTCTGAGTCTTCCCTCCATGCTATCCAAGGGTACCTCTAGCCTTGGCCTCCGTGGGCCTCTGAATGCTTCCCTGCCACATCCGTCCCAAGCATGCACAGTTCCTGGGTCTTTTCCAGCACTGGGCCAGGGCAGTTGGCCCCAGCAGTGCCGTGGGGATGTGCAGGAAGGTGACTGCGGCGTTGAGGTTCCTTTATTTATTAGCCTTGTAAATGGCTGTGCTCCACTGCCTTTGTGCCTCAGCACATGCCAAGAAAGTTAAGGACATTCCTTAAATCAAACCCAAGATTTGCAATTTAAAAATAAAACATCCATAACATAAAATGAGCAGCAAAGGGATAGGACTGTCTCCTCAGTGGGATATAAAACCACCAGAATAAATTCCCTCACCCACAAAAGTGAACTTTTGCAAACCAACAAATCCCCTCTGGGGCCTTCCTAGACATCCCCTAAAGCCTGGATTCTCCTGGAACACCAGGCTGGGGCTATTAGGCTGAGGCCACTGTGACTTCTATCGCCGCAACTGCACAGTCCCCAGCTCTTTACCCTCCATCATCACCTTCATCATCTCAGCATCTTTCGAGAGGGTGCTGAAATGCCACTCAGACGCTGTCTCCTTCTACTCTCACCCCTGCCCTTACTGGTTGAGGCTTTTAGCAACTTCTGTGTTATCCAAAACCTCGGCTTAGTTGGGATTCATCAGAGACTCCCAATGTCAAAGTCAATATCCTTCCTTTCCTACAATCCCCAGTTCCTTAGCATCTCCTTGAGTGGCCTGATGGGCAGGCACTGATGGGAGAGTGCCACGTCCACCGGAAATAGGTAGACATCATCAGGCCTTTGCCCAGCTCTCTCTAGTCACCTCCACGCCGTCCACAAACTTCTGCGCCATGTTCAGAAACCCTGGCACCTGGTATTTCAAATTTAGGAAGAGGCTCTGCACAGAAACAATGAAACCTCAAACTTAAAAAGAACCTCAGGTATCTTTCATTTGTTGTGTTTCCTCATTTGTAAAATTAGAATAAAAACAGGAACTGCTCTGCCTACTTCAAAGGATTATTTGTAAGGATGAAAAAATAAACATTATACAAATCCCAGCCGTAATTACTATGACCCCCAAAGCTGACAGTCACGCTTGGACCAGATCTTCTGAACCCTCCCCCACCCACTCGCTGCCCCACCCCCTCCCCGGCAAGCCAGTACTTGTACATATGCATGTATGCGCATGCGCCATGCCATTCTGTTGAGGAGCAGAGGCAGGATTGCTGCTCCCTGGCTCCATTTTGCTGTTCTACAGCCCACTAGGGCCCTCAGTTGTGATGAGAACTGAGTCAACGTAATTCAGTTGCCACTGCTCTGTGTGACGGCTATTACATGCCGGCCTGGAGACCCCACAGACAGCCGCACGTGGACAGAATCCACAGCGCAGAAGAGCCCCTCCAGCCTCAATGGGATGTCTTGTCCACCCATGGTCTTGCCACTCCCTGGACTGCCTTGGAAATAGAGCCTAGAGAAGCACCCACGGCTCGCCCCAGTGCGTCTTCCCCTGGCGCAGCTGTGTCTGCAGGCTGGGAATTGCATGCCATTGCACAAGAACTGAAAGCCTAAACCAAAGGAGAGACCTCACCCCTATTGTGAAAACAATGGGGGGGGGCACTGATTTATTTCTAAATAACTTCTAAAAAAGCTTCCCAGAGAGGAGGGCAGCCTCTTTACCATGTGCATATGTGTCCATGATAGCAGCTTTCAAAGCAATTGTAAGATTCAGGTTTCTTAAGTGTTCTAACCTGAACAGTCCCAACTGACTTGAAAGAAAGAAAAGGAAGTGCATCAACATACAAACTAAAAAAGCAGAGTCACTCAAGTAAAAGCCAAGGAGAACGAGAAAGGTTATTTACTTAAATGTTGGCCCAGCGTCACAATTAATGTATGCTGGATTTTATTTTTCTCCAGGCTGGACCCAGCTCCAATCTTGGTCGTTTTGTTATGGTGAATGACTAAATGTGACTAAATGATCTAGCGCCCTCTGGTGGCTTCTCCTTGCATATGACATAATTTCGTGAATGTTCAGGAAAAGGTCTTACTATTAATAAAAGTCTAAAATTTAAGATACAAGAATTCCAAAGAAGAAAGTCCTGCTGGGAAAAACGACAGCCATGGAGAGGGGGGAGGTTGCATGAATTGAGAAAGTGTTGGTCAAAGAATACGAAATTTCAGTTAGGAAAAATAAGTTCCAGAGATCTCTCCTACAACATGGTGACTATAGTTAATGACAATGTTTTGTATACTTGAAAATTGCTAACAGAGTAGATTTTTAAGTGTCCTCATCACAAAGAAATAATAATTAGGTAAGGTAATGCATATGTCAATCAGTTTGATTTAGCCATTCCACAATGTATATGTATATGTAAATGTTTACATATGTATATGTAAACATCACGTTGTATACCATAAACAAAATTTTTGTCAATTTAAAAATAAATAAATAAATTTTAAAAATGAGTAAACCAAAAATCTATAGTCATAGTAGTATTAGTTACATGCTGGTAGTTACCAGTAGTACTAGCATGTAAATAGTTGTAATAGAGGTAGCCAACAAGGTTCCTACTGTTACCATGATTTTATGGTAACAGGTCAGGTCTCCTTAGCTGTAACTGTCATTGGACACCCTACCGCTCCCTAAATTACCAATGTGTTCTTTTCTAAACAATCAGCAGAAAATCATGCTCAGGGGCATCTGAGTACCAAAAGGGAGTACTAGTTCGCAGGACACAGAGAGGGACTTCGAGAACAGGCATTGAGGGCTTTGCTTTTTAATACATATTTATTGTATATTTAATTTTGCTTATAAGAATCATTCAGATTTATTGTAAATAATTTAGAATATAAAAGTTTCCTAAAAGAATATAAAAGTCACCTAGACTCCCACGACTCACAGAGAACTATTATTAATACTTTTATATATTTCTTTCACACTTTTTCCCTGGGTGTGTATTTT